AAAGCATCTGCTTCTCTTGCTGTGAGGGTTTCTCCACGTATACGCCTTTGAGCAACTAGACGAAGAGAGATGGCTCTCTGCTGTTTGTGCCGAAGAAACACTTTCATTTGACTCCGGATATGTTTTAGTTTTGTCTCAAGCTTATCGATGTCTGAGTTGACTAAGTCAATTATTCCTTTTAGTCCACGTAAAATTATCAGGCAGCCGAACCGCTTTAGACAGCCAAACCCACGGCGTAACGGTTCCCTGTTGAGGCTCATGCGTACCATGTGGGCAGTTAAACGCTCTCGTTCTTCCAACTTTTTGCGCAAGGCAACGGCAAGCTGAGACCTTTTTTTCATCATCCACGTGAGCTTTTCACTTGCTTTCTTTAAAACCTTCATGTCCTCCTTTGTTAGATTTACGGCATCTGAAGCGGGCAACAGTAGCGCCTCCTTAAGACGTCGTAATTCTGCCTCCTCTGCAATAGGTGCTAGTGGATCGATGAGATAAAACAGATCTGGCTTCTCATTGCGGGCGGGACGCTCATCTCCTCCCTTTACAGCTTTTTTTGACGTGGCATGCTGGCCCCCTCTTTCCACAGTTTGCTTTACCTGCTGCACCCCCTGTGCCACAGATTGCTTCATCGTAACATGCTGCTCCTCTGCTTTCACAGTTTGTTTTGCAAGGATATCCTCGTTATCGAGATCACTATGGTTGGTTTGTCCACGTGGAAGTAGCCTGAAACTGCTGACGCCCGGGACTGGAGATACTGGAGGCAGTGGCGAGATGGGTGTAGCGGCCCTCGAGCTGCCGCCTTCCATGCACCTCCTGAATGCGCTGCTATCCGCCAAAGACAACATGCGTCCATGTATGCCCATGCCTACGGCTGGGGAGTAACCCAGCTCTAGCAGGCACCCGAATATACGTGAGATAGATAAAATTGTTGCTAAAAGGCTTAAGAACGCTGCTGGGGTTGACCAGCGCCGATTCCGGGCTTCCTTTGAGGGCGGCTCTGGAATTGCTGGAATAATGCGGATGGAGTAAGGCTTGTCAGCTGGGGTAGACCCATTTTCAAGGCTGTTCAAACCTTCGCCAACTTGCAGCGAGGTGTTTTGTTCAGCGAGCGCTAGGTTCATTCCTCTCGAAGTATCGTAGGGCGGTTCGTCTCCAGGAGACGCGTAAAGAGCTGGAAATGTGCAGTACTTTCAAAACCGAACTGCCACAGGGCATGGATAAGACAGAGCGCTGGTATTCTAGCGGGGCCACATTCGGCACACCATCGGACACAGCAATCACAGAGGAGCAACTGGGGTTCCTTCACGACAATTCTTGAGTCACCGCAGTGAAATGAAGAAATTAGAAACAAAAAATGTGCAGGAAATAGGGTGTGAGGTGGAAACTGTTTCTCACGATTCTGCCTTTGAGGTAGACAAGAAAGAGAATGTGCGAGTGCTTTTTGCAGGGTTGCAAGCTGGGGATCCCCGTCTACAGCAATGGATGCCAATATTCCATGTCTACATTGAGTTTTTCGATGAATTATTAGATATAGAATTTTAGATTAACATTTAGAGCATTGTCTCTGAGTGTCTTGCATTCTTTTTGCGCTCAGTTTCATGCTTCCTGTCCCACAGCTCGCCCGAAAGGGACACCCAGCACAGCCGACACGGACAGTCTAAATGATGGAAGTTAATGTTCCCTGTTTACGCAGAGACTTCCGATGCATCATTGAACATTGCATTTTTTATTAGAGTTTCAAGAATTGCCTCTAAGTGTCTCACATTCTGCTAGGGTTCAGTTCCATGCTTCCTGGCTCGCAGCTCACCCAGAATGGACGGCCAGCACAGCGGAGAATAACAGTGCGGCGTTCCCAGCTTCAGANGTCTTCTGTTGTGCCTTTTCAACCTCACATGGAGTTTAACATTGACAAACTATTGCCTTGCTGATGTAGTTTCTAGCTTGGTCTGCCTGAAGTTGGATCATGCATTCCTACTTGCATGCTAGCTGCCTACAGAGGGCCAAATGAGTATTTACCAATTGAGTACAAACTTCGTGCACACAGTAATTGACTGCGCTTGCTTGTCTTGTTGCCTTGCGGCACTACTTGCGACACGGTGCGTTCCAACTCACGACAGGCCAGTTGGCCAACTCTTCAGCACCAGCCTCAGGCCCTTGGTTTGCTGTGTCGTCGAAGCCTGGGGACTGAAGAGGATGTTAGGTGATTTCGGGAGAGCTGTTGTTGTAAATATTTGACTCCATCACACCTCGCGACCGGTTTCGCCTATGATCGAGGTTCCTCTTAACGGCAGAGGAAAGAACCAATATTGTTCCACAAAATTGCATCATCATTCTTAGCTTCCACTGCATAAAAGGAAGGAAATGTGCAGAGGGAACATCAATGGTACAGCCAGTGTCCGCTGTCCTTTGGAGGCGCTGCGCCATGGTGTTTCTGATGCTGTTGCATGGATTCCTACTTGCGTGCAGGCTGGATGCTAACGGATAAGTAAGCATTTACCGATTGCTACCAAGAGAGTCATGGCCCGTACCTTTGTAAGCTGCAACAGGAAAGAAGAATTTTGCAGAAAGACGCTGAAATCCCTTCCAGTAGCCAGGTGTGCTACGCACGGCAGCACAAGGGCGTGCTGGTGCAGAGAGGAAATGGCCTGTCATCACATGTCGTGCTTCTTGACGCAACTTGTGCTTTATTGTCGCCCCAAATGCAAACAAGAACAGCCAAGTCCTATTTCAATGCTTTTATGGGCAAAGTAGGCAACTTGTTAGTACACATCGCAATTAACAGCCCGCCTGCGTGCATGCGGAAGTGCATGTACCAATTGCAGACAAAGCGTGCAAAAAAAGATGGCGTAGCAGGGGAGAGACGGCTGTGTGTATCATGCAGAAGCTTCACGGAGTCCACTTGGATATACATATGAACAGATAGGTTAAAATNCGGCTGTGTGTATCATGCAGAAGCTTCACGGAGTCCACTTGGATATACATATGAACAGATAGGTTAAAATTGTTACTCAGGGAGTACCGCCGCCAAATGAAATGTGGAAGGTGGCTGGTGGAGCATCGTGGCTCTAGACTCTTTGCCTCTCCAAGTTTCTGCTAGATGTAGGACCAGATCTCGAAAAGCCGTACGCACCCGCGATGAAGAGAAGAAGACATGATTCAGGTCATTATTTCACTCTTAGCTTCGCCTAGCCTGGCATTTTTGGGACAATGTAAAGGGTGTCCTGAGACTAAACTGAAACAACTCCAACTGTCTGTTTTTGTCTCCTTTTTGCAGTCTTTCTGCTGTCCACCCGTCTAATTCCATTAGACGTGTTGTACCGCTTTACATTAATGTTGCCAATGCTTTGATTAATTGTGTTTCACCGTCCAACGGCAGAAAAGCCTTTTACAAGGCGCTGAGGCTTCACTTGGAGGTGCTGTCAAGACACCTGACAGCTGATAAGGATGTGAAGCCTCAGTTCCTCGGCTGCGCTCACTGCTGCTGTTGTTGCTGGTGCAGTGAAGGAATGCAGCGGCGGGTGCTGCCATCGCATACGCACGCTTGTTTGTGTCGGCAGCCTTAACAGAAAACGCCGCATGCTGCAGCCCTTTGGTTGGTTACACTTTACCATCGCAAGTAAAAAACAGCCCAAAACAGCCTGTGACGACAAAAAAGTGAAGATGATTTGGTCTTAATCGCCAGGGACAACTAAACCCGTATGTGGGATACATTGATCCTTCATCCTCGCATGTGTGCGAAAACGGGGAGAGCCTCCAGGATGCGGGTTCTGCCAGTCTACACCTGCGAATACGATGAAGAGAGGCAACCCAGAAGCTGGTGAAATGGCAATGCCGTACACCGCAGCGACTTCAGACCACAGACTCCCTACAGCAGACCTTTCCGCTATAAAAGTGCCAGTGGCAATCTTCAGAAATAATTGAATCCCAGACCCCAGACGGCAACGTGCTGACTCCAGGTAGTTGGTGGCGGATCAAAGGATGATCAAAATGCCACAGAATGTCCTGCCTTCCAATGTTCTGCCTTCCATTGAAGCCATCAGCCCAAGCTGGTGTTGTCAACGGCCTCATTCGTTAACGCCTTGGTGCCTCCAGCACGACCACTTTTAACCCTTAGGCGCTTGAAGAGCGAACGCAAGATCCCCGAGTCATTCGAGTGACGTCGATTCTGGAGAAAATAAGTGCATCGTTCCATAGATTTCCGCAGCTCTCTATCTGCTTCCTCCAGCTCTTCAATTATCCGACGTGGTGAAACGCTCATCAAGACAAATCTAAGCTGCCGAATAAACGTTGACGCCCCCTTCTGAAGTGATATGCACTTCTTATATTGCCTCTCCAACGCCCAAAAATCGCGTAAAACAGCAAGCCCTCCACCGGAACCAGACTTGGATGCCTCCAGCTTCTTTACCAAGCTTTCCGTCGACTTCTGCATTCGTGTCAGAAGCTCGGCACTCATTTTCAGAATCTCGGCTTCCTCAGCACTCGTTGCCACAAAATGTTTGCTCTCATTTCCCTCCACTATAATAATGGCTGCACTCAGGGCTGCTGCTGCACTGGGCGCGATGAACGCTCCAGATGCGCGACGTCCCGCAACTAAACGCAAAGAAAGGGCCAAGTGCTGTTTTCGTGGAATCAAGTATTTCAGTTCGTGTCGAACCCGACACAGCTTAGATTCCAGTAGTCGAGCTTCTGCTTCCAATTTACTAAGACGTCCCTGAACACGCCGGCGGTCCTCCAAAGAGCTAGGGGATACCTGCAACGCCAGCTGTTGATCACGGCTATAGAGAAGCCTCTGTTTCGCCGAAACTTCATGCAAAGATCTCAGAAGGCTGCTTCTTTTCTTCAGCATTATTCTCAGGTGATTTTCTGCCGTGTGCAGCATTTCCAGTTCCTGGTCTGTCAGATCCAAGCACGCGCCCCCAGGAGGTTGAAGGAGCCGAAGTTGGCGTGCATGTTCTGCTCTG